CACAAAAGAAAGCCTTCGGAGACTCAGCCTGCCAACTTGAAGGACGTCAAGATTCTCGTCGACATTGATCCGAACTTTTCGTGGGTCTTCCATTCCCAGCCCGGCGCACTTAGACGGATTATCATGAACCTGTTCGGCAACGCTCTTAAATACACATCGAGCGGCTTCATCAAGGTCCAACTCAGACAGGAAGAAGTGGTTCATAAGTCGGCGAGGTCAGCATCCATGGTTGTTCTTACCGTAACAGACTCCGGCAAGGGCATCAGCGAGGATTTCCTACGCAACAAGCTCTTCACCCCCTTCTCTCAAGAGGATGCCTTGGCTCCGGGCACGGGTCTTGGATTGAGTCTGGTAAGGCAGATTGTTGCAACACTCGGCGGCACGATCAGCGTCAAGAGTCAGCTTGGCCATGGAACTAGCATGACCGTGTCAATGCCACTCGTGCTTTCACGCAAGGCGTCTAGCCGCGGACGTAAATTCTCAGCGGACTTGAGCTCCCTAGCCGGCAGGAGACTCTCTGTCCGCGGGTTTAGTCGGGGTCTTGATAGCTCAGAAGAGCTTCGTGCCGGGGGCCATGATCTCCCGGTCGAGAGTCTTCCGCTCAAGTGGCTGGACGTGAGCATCACGGACGAAAGCACAGGAGCTGCCTCTTCTCCCGCGGACCTCACACTTTGCAGTGAAGAAGCATTCCGGAAGCTTGACGCGTCTCACAGCAGGGGCAATGAACCACCACTGGTAGTCGTTTGCGCCAATGCCGAGTCAGCTCAAAAGCTGGCGACCTCCTACAGGCGGTCTCGTCAACAGACAGTGATGGAGTTTATCGCACAACCGTGAGTAATGTGGACGGCAGAATATGTGCATGACTGACATGTAATCAGCACCGGACCACGAAAAGTCGCGAAGGCCCTTGCTTGTGCTCTTGATCGATGGCAGCAGCGACAGGCCGTAAAGCTTGTGGCTGCGGGGCCGGATGCCATGTCCGGGCCTCTCACGCCCAACAGCGCGTTGAGGGCGGAACTGTCCCCAGGGCGTAAGAGGGCTCAATCTGAGAGCATCAAGAGCGTTAGGATGGCCACGACCCCAGACGAAATCATCACGCAATCACCGCTCGATAACTGGATCGCCCAGCCTGATCCGGATTTCACACTGAAACTTCCCTTCCGCCCCGCCGCGAAGGCCGCTGGCGTCGCATCGACCGCATCCCCAGCATCAACGCCTGGCACTGCTACACCTCCTGTGCTTGCGTCTTCATCAATGGCCAAGACCATAAATCAACAACGAGAGTTCCTTCTGGTGGACGACAATCCAATCAATCTTAAAGTTCGTGCGTCCATTGAAAGAAAACGAACTGCACCATGCTAACAGTCGCAGATTCTATCAGCATACATGAAGAAACTGAACAAGAAACATACTACAGCGACAAACGGGCTGGAAGCTTTGCAAGCCTACACCGCGCAGCCCAATAGATTCTGTTGCATTCTCATAGGTATGTCGACATAATGCATATGCACGAGGGAGGAGTCGCTGACAGTTTCTCAGACATTACGATGCCCGTCATGGACGGACTTGAGGCTACGAGGCGGATTCGAAAGTTTGAAAGAGCCCATCACCTTCCGCCTGCGGTGGTCATCGCCATTACCAGCTTGGGGTCGGCCAGCGCGCGACAGGAGGGCTTTGCTAGCGGCATGGATCTCTTCCTCACGCGGCCAGTGACCATGACGGAGCTGGTGAAGATCCTCAAGCAGAGGAAACTAGTTGATGACGATACGGAAAAGCAGGTCCTTGGAAAGTGACCTGACGCAGTAGACGATAGGCGTGTTGGAGACACGGAGGGTTTGTCATTTGGCGGGTTTTTGCAAGGCGTTTTGGGGGTTGACGCAGGGTATGATTAGTCCCGGACAGGACATAGAGAGGGGCTCAAAAGGGAGCATTCGATTTTCAACAGGCACGGGACAAGTCTCGACGGGGGATTTGGCGCGGTGAGACTTTTATCAAAAGACAGGCGTTGCTAGCAGGTAGCACCTAGGTTACGTAGTCAAAATGGAGCAGACACGATTCACAGTCGGCATTCGGGAAACAGAGCCCACTCTGTTCTGGACTTGTCGGGTGGCCCCGGCGATGATGGCGGTGGCATGCATGTGATGGACCAATTGAGGCCCCTGAGAACGACGCTGACCGCTACTGCATGATGAATATTGTAAAAGAGAGTAGTGATCGGTGATGGAGAAGGTAGGTGTAAATGAAGTGAGGCTGATATAAGCTCTCACGCACGAAGGATGGATTCTAGAAGGCTTCTGGAAGAGTTTACATAGTACGTGTATGAGGCGCTGATTCTGTGCGGCCAGTCGTGTGGCCGCACGGTTTGTGTCATCGGCAGTGGCCGAAGGACGCGTCGCTTGTGTGGAAATTGGAGAGAGGGAGATGGGGAACCTCGGCTTTTGATCGGCATAATGGGGCGGAGGTGCCAGGGGTGCGTTATCTTTAGCGGTGACGCAGATGGATGGCTTTTGGGGGCTCGACGCTGAGATATCGTGAAGGGAATCAACTCAATGGTTTGAGGGAGAGAATTGAGGATGATGGGAAAGGGATGGGATGAGATGATGGAGGAGGCATTGGATGGATGGTAGGGGGAGGCGGCGCATTGGATGGTGGTCGTGGTATCGGGCCGAACGGTATCGGTACCTTGAAGTGGTTTCTGGCTGGCTGATAAGGAATCTCCCGGGGACCCTGATTGACTTGCCTTGTGCTGGTGTCTCTTATCAGTCTGTTTTGTGTGTGCTTACGGAAGATGCCCGGGGGTCGTGTCTCGACTCATGAGGAGACGACGCTCACGCTTCGGTTCGGGGATTCTCGTTGTCGCGATTGTGTAGGTCTGATCTGGGTGTTTGGCGATCTGATGTTTTCCGAGATAGGATGCCCGGCACGCTGGGGATTAGGGGAAGCGCGCGTGTGTGAGTGAGTCTGGATGATGGTGGTTTCGTGGGTTGTGAAGCAGCAAGCTGGCGAAGCGCCGTTATCTTGGAGGTGGAGCGGGAGCGCGGTTGCTTTTGAGGTAAGGGTACGTAGTCTGGCTTTGGGGGAGCGCGGTCTGGGTGTGATGTGAGTGGTTGAGAAGGACTTGTTGGAGAAAGACAGGCGATGGGGGAACGAAGCACGACGTTGCCGGCATGAGGTGAAGTTTATTTCTGGGAGTTGGGGTTTGTGGGGTTTGAGGGACTGGTGTAGCTGGATTGTGAGGCTGATGGAAATGGTTCTTGGCAGAGGGGATGTTGTCTTTTCTGTTTGAGGGGTTCAAGAGATGGTGGTGATGATTTGAGGATGCTTGTGATGAGTACGGATAGAGTTCGTCTGCCAGCTCCAATCGACCCAGTCCCAACAAGATGGCAGACCAGACGTTCCTTTTAGGTATCACTGCCGTGAAGGCGGACGGCATGGCTTGTACGGGCTTAGGCCCGGGCTCACCGAGCCACACCCTGAGGAGCCGTGAGGCGTTAGGATTCGACAGCGATAAGGTGCTCCTGTCAGTGTCGCTTCATTTCTCCTGGGAACACCTTAGCCAGGGTCTCTCTCCGGGGGTGCGAACCGCTGGCTCGTCACCTCCAAGCTTTCCCTCCCTCCCCCTCACCAGACCGCGCTACAGATGTAACTGACATGTCGCCCTAGGCCGAAAGGGCTGATCGTCGTTGCAGCTGCTGGGCTCGTTACAGCGCAGCTCGTCGCGTGTGTCTGCGGAGAGAGAGGGGGAAGGGGGGATAGGTAGGTCGCATGACATCACGGGCTGTAAAACAAGCCTTTCGCTGCTGTGTCTTCCCTGCTACCGATCCTGCGGACCGCGGTTGGGAGCGCCCGGAGAACTGTCTTCGTGTGAGTGTGTGTTACCTCTGTTATCAGCTTACAGCGTCCCAGCTCTCGCGGCTATTCTGTCGAGGAGGGAGGGACGTGTACGCCAATCCGCGGGCTGTTTGATATCTATCTCAAGTGACATGCTCATGATTCAGTCAGGCACACAGAAAGACAGAAACAGACGGACAGAGAGACAGAGACATCCACCCAACCGAAAAGCCCCGGGCGGACACTGCTGATACGCACGAACCACCTAACCCCATAGATCCATTTCTCTCAGTCCACATTCGAACATGACCCCCCTGGGCCGAAGATATCGCTTGTTATGAATGATTGCCTTGACAAGCGCCTGAACCCAGCCCAGCCCAGCTTCACACAGCATTGTTGAAGATAGTCGTGTACCCGCGGTTACAAGTCCACGTTAACGTAGTTCCGTAGAGAGAGCGTCGTCTCTTGTCTACGGACTAACACTCTTCCACGCAGCCAGCGGCACCAGCAAACAGGCCATCAAGCCCATCTCGGCCAATTCAACTTGTCTCTCTATCTATCTGCTCGTCTGTCTGCTCTCGGTCTGCGGGGCGTGGGGGAGAGGCTAGCGTGTTGGAACTGGGTCCCCCCTCACGCACCCCCCCGATCCCGTTGCATTGGGGCGCCGCCGTAGCCCAGGCCCCAAAGATGGATCTCCTCCGTTTCTGTGTCATTGAATTGTGTCCTTGGTGTAGTTGCTGACGGCGTTGTGTGTGTGTGACTCGACTGGATCGACGGGCAGACCACGGCATAGCTGGGTTGCCATGCTGGCTTGCTGTCTCTTTCTCCAAATCTGCCGGGCATACTAAAAGAGTCGCTTAACCCTCTTTTCCCCCCATTTCCCGTTTCTTCCCTTTCCCCAATTGAAGCTCGCGTGAGTGCGGTTTTATCCTTTTTTTGTATCTTTACTTGTATTTTAATACAGCCGGGTCTTCTTGTTCACTCCTTTTAAACCGGCGCTGCTCCCCTGCGCACGGCACCTGTCAAACCGGCCCAATCCTCCCGATCCTGCGCGAACCGGTCGACAGCGGGATTACACACACACACACACCGACCGCGTCCTCCAACTTCAACGTCGTCCACCGGGACACACACCTCGATACCGAACTCACACCACAACACCACCCACAATGTCGGATTCCATCCGCTCCGTCTCAATGGGCGAGGCGCCCCCTCGCGTCTCCGCCGACCAGGCCCTCGCCCGCCTGGGCTACAAGGCCGAGCTCCCGCGCAACCTCTCCATGCTCTCCATCCTCGGCCTCTCCTTCGCCATCATGGCCGTGCCCTTCGGCCTCTCCACGACAATGTACATCACCCTCACCAACGGCCAGGCCGTCACCGTCCTCTGGGGCTGGGTCCTCGTCTCCATCATCTCGCTCTGCATCGCCGCCTCCCTCGCCGAGATCTGCGCCGTCTACCCGACCGCCGGCGGCGTCTACTACTGGTCCGCCATGCTCGCCCCCGCCGGCTGGGCGCCCATGGTCAGCTTTGTGGATGGCTGGCTGACGCTCGTGGGGAACTGGACCGTCACGCTTAGCATCAACTTCAGCGGCGCGCAGTTGATTCTGAGTGCGATTAGCATTTTTAATGAGGACTTTGTCGCGAACGAGTGGCAGACTGTGCTGTGCTTCTGGGCTGTGATGCTCGTGTGTGCGAGCGTGAACGCGTTCGGGTCGCGGTATCTGGATTTGATCAACAAGGTCTGCATCTACTGGACCGGCGCCTCTGTGCTCATCATCCTGGTCACGATCCTGGTCATGGCGCCCAGCAAGCGCTCTGCCGAGTTTGTGTTTTCGCATTACGATGCTTCGGCTAGTGGATGGCCCTCCGGGTGGTCCTTCTTCGTCGGTCTGCTTCAAGGTAACATCGCAACCTGTCGTAAACTTACGCAATCATGAGAAAACTAACATCTTAAAACAGCCGCCTACACCCTCACCGGCTACGGCATGGTCGCCTCCATGTGCGAAGAGGTCCAGAACCCCGAGCGCGAAGTCCCCCGCGCCATCGTCCTCTCCGTCGCCGCCGCCGGCGTCACCGGCGTCATCTACCTCATCCCCATCCTCTTCGTCCTCCCCGACGTCACCATGCTCCTCGAGGTCGCCAACTCCCAACCCATCGGCCTGCTCTTCAAGACCGTCACCGGCTCCGCCGCCGGCGGCTTCGGCCTGCTGTTTTTGATCCTGGGCATCCTCATGTTCGCCGGCATCGGCGCCCTCACGGCCGCGTCACGCTGCACCTACGCCTTTGCCCGCGACGGCGCCATCCCGGGCTACAAGCTCTGGAGCAAGGTCAACCACAAGCTCGACATGCCGCTGTGGGCGCTGTTCCTCTCCACGGCGGTCGACTGCGTGCTGGGGTGCATTTACTTTGGCTCCTCGGCGGCGTTCAACTCGTTCACGGGCGTGGCGACGATCTGCCTGTCGACGAGTTACGGTGTGCCTGTGCTGGTGAACCTGATCCAGCGCAGGAAGGCGGTGGCGAACTCGCCGTACCCGCTGGGCAAGTTCGGCACGCTGATCAACTGCATCTGCATCGTGTGGATCGTGTTCGCGGTGGTGATCTTCTGCATGCCGGTTAGCTTGCCCGTGGACGCGTCGACGATGAACTACGCTAGTGTGGTGTTTGCTGGGTTCGCATTCATTGCGGTTGTGTGGTACTTTGCGTACGCGAGGAAGAACTTCCACGGCCCCCCGGTTGCGAAGGAGGAGTTCCAGCCGGGCGAGGATGGGGTTATGGAGGGGAAGGTGCCGGCTGGGGCTGTTGATTCTGAGACTACGGGCAGCGCGGAGAAGAAGTAAAGGGGTGATTGCATTTTAGTTGTGATTTGCGATGATACCAATTTTTTGCACTAGTTGTCGAGACCATCTGCGTTTGCGTACAATTGTCAATTCCATACCAAGGTTGTAGACCTTATACTGAGAAAACGCCTTCTAGAGCTGTTGTCTTTGAAGTGACATAAAAGTCCGTGGACATCATGTAAAGGACATGAACTGAATTGACCACTTTGGGTGCTTACATGAAATAGCTCCTCTTAGCAACTCAATCTTACCCCTTTTGAGCTTCCGAAGCTGGGGAGAATCCTATCATGAAGAACTCATGAGCTTTGTTGTACCACGCTACAACATTTCCTTGCACTCGAATGCTGTGTTCAACCTCACTCAGAGAATAGAACGACCTTTCCTGTGGCAGAAATATGACTTTGTCCCCATTCCGTCTGATCCATTTGCCGCCTTCGTCGAAGCTGTAGCCATGCCACTCATGCGATGGAATGAATTCACCGTTTGCTAGGCCATTGTTAACCATCACGAGGTCGGACACTTCGCATATTGATTCTGTCCCTTTAGTTGACACACGGAAGAGTGTTTGTGGAGAAAACGCAAAGGAAGCAGAACAAACCAGGCCCGGAGGAGTCAGCGTATAGATCATCTGGCCTGTCGCCGCTGACCAAATGTTGATCTGCTCGGACTGGGCAAATTCTGGCCAGCATCCCTGTGCTAGTAGCGAAGAGTCGTGTGAGAACGCAGTGGCGGAAGGGCCGCGTGTTCTGATAAGAGAAAGGCCATTTCGGGTGCCGTTGTTGATTAACTTCATTCGACAAATATGATGCGTGCCGGCACTCGGTTCCTGACTTTCGATCAGGGTATATGATGAATTTGGACAGACGCATATGGCCTGGACCTTGCCAGTAACTCGGTGGAAAGCATCGCTTGCGTTCTCACTGACTGAGTATCTAATGACCAGTGTTTCTGGCCTCGGGTTGACTCGGGGTCTGCAATACATGGTTGTCCTTCGATCTGGAGATATTGCAACCGGACTCCTGCCACAGTTATCGTGCAATAGGATCATGCCAGAGTGGAGATCTTGGAGTGTAACGCCCCCGGGTGACGAGACAACAATGAATCTCGAGTCGGCAGAAAATGTAGCTGTAGGCGACTTTTCGAAGTTTAAAAGGGGCGACTGGTGGCCTTGTATCATGTAGGAATGTCCGTTCCCAGTGTCCCGCATTAAGTGGCCGTTCGAACCTCCCGAATCGAACAAGTATTTGCCGTCTGGCGAGAGATTCATGTCTCCGCCCCGCTGGCCCTGCAGGCTTCGTAAAAGCTGGCCATTTGTCATAGACCAAACATCCAACTTGTGTGTGTGATCTGAGTTTGTTATAACAACTTTGCTATTCGCCGCAAGGATGTTTGTAACATTGATGCCATGAGATGAATGCTTGGGTGGCAACACTGCGTTCGTCGATTCTATCTCGATCTAGCATGGATGTTGACCATACAACAATGTGCTCCATATCAGCGAGGATTAAATAACGACCGTCGTCAGAAAAGAGTACCTCCGATGATGGGATATAATCATTGTCCATGCCATTCGAACCACTGGGAAGCTGTAAAGTCCGATATTCAGGACAGTCAGGCAGAGTCCAGATTGTGAGTTTTTCGCTTGAACTTCTGGAAGCTGCAAAATTTCCATCGGGAGATATGGCGACGTGACGTCTTCCGGGGCCAACAGACAGTATACACATGGTTTCTCCCGTGATGACATCAATGATTCTAGCATTGCCCTCTGTTGTTCCGATTGTTGGAAGCATGGACGAGGATGAAAATGCAATCGCGAAGTCATCGTTCGTGAAATTGGGAAGTCGGCGCAAGCATTGGCCCGTAGCCACGTTCCAGATGAGAGTGGCCTTTGTGACATGAGAATAACCACAAACTGCCTGAGAATCAGTCGAGAAGCCCACATATGCAGGCTCAGAAACACCTTCTTGCGGGTAGTTCGACGGGTCGAATTCGGGATCTCTCAGCCATCGAGAAAGTTTACCTGTAGTTGAGGACCATATTCCAACAGTGGCATCAGGGTAAATTGAAGCGAAAATGTCTGAGTGGCGACAAGCATCAATTCTGACATCGGTAGTTCCAGTCAACGAATGTGTAATCGATTGCGTAAGTTTTCCGGAGTTTGTGTTGTAAATATGGAATGTGCGAGAAGAACCAGATATCAGCCGTGTAGAACCTGCCGCAAATACCAGGGATTCAAAGCTGACGGCTGCATCCTGTTGTTGAGGTCTGGGTATTTCTCGCAGCAATTCGCCTGTAGACATTGACCAGAGTAAGATGTCACCCTCTGCCTGAGAGCAAGCAAGGAGTCTTGAGTCCAATGATATGGCAACGGTACTGATGAAGCGTTCGCTTTTCAAAATTCTGATTCGATGCGACCAGTGGAGGGTGGGAATTATGGTGAATCTTATGTCGGATGGAACGCAACTCGCGAGCGTCTTCCGAATGACACTTTCGCCGGGAGAGAATGGAAGGGCGGACCAATACAACTGCAGGACATGCTCAATGAATGTTGAGATATTGTGGTCGATAAAGAATTTAGCATCTTCTAAAAATCTTCGAAGCGGTCCTTCGAGGCCCTAGTTGCAATCCTTGTCAGCTTTGTCGCATATAACGGGAATGGGTTTGCCCTTGCCTTGACCAAACGTAAAAGTCTCTCTGGAATGCTGACCACCTTTGAGGCCTCTCCAAGGAGGATGAGAGCCTCGATCCAATGGAGGAAATGAACTTCCACAAACAAATCAAAAGCATCTCCATCTTTAAGGATGATATCGGCTTGTTCCAAGTGATCAATCAGGTGACTGCAAGCGTACTTGACCGGCGGAGGAAGTTCCTTCTGTACCGATTGGCTGCCTAATTTAGGGCGGGCATCTCCAGGTTTCAGTCCACAAATGTTGTATCGCAGGTGTTTCTTGGTTGAAAGTAGGTTGATGCAGCTAAATGCCATCTGATCGTGCCTGTATTTGATATCAATCTTGAATTCCCCCGCAGACGGACTTATCAAAAAGTCACGGAAAGACAAATGAAATCATTTGATCGGCGAGCCGGGCTCTTCTGACATCTCGAGGACGGATTTTAAGAGATATGTCATACGATGCACTTCAGCAGCCTTGCTGTTGGTCAAGTAGGCTATTGATTCGATTGACAGTGGCTCTTCGAGAAGGATAATGGTGCCAATGACATGCTGAAAGCTTGACACCAGATTGTGATCTTTCAAGTTTGGAGCATTCTCGTTATCCTTGAGCTTGAACAGAACTGGAAGATACGTAGCATCCATGTTACTTGTCATTCTTCCTTTGCTGATGGTGCGCATCATGTAAGCTAATTGCTCTCGTGGACTTCCAAATCGATAATCGTCAACGAAACGACAAACAGTAGCGGCGAAAATAAACAAAGGTGTGGCATGTTTGACGAAAATATCGAGCGTCTCTTTTCCTGGCCAATCCTCGGGGATTCTTGCGGAAGAGTTATTGTGATGTCTCAAATTCCATGTTTCGTATCTTGGATAGCTCATGGTCCAAGAAGGTGCCAATATCGCTATCGATGACGTGTTTTGTGACTTCCTGCAGGATAATCTCTTGAACATGGCCAAGGACAGGGTCGAAGGCGTAGCTGGTTGCGATTTCTGGTCGACTGGTGATGAAAACCTTCAGTCCAAACGACTTTTCTTTGGCTATGTCAGATAACAACGAGACAATAACTTCGGCATCCTTTTCGTCTGCACACTCATCGAGAGCATCGATAACAATCATATGGGTAGAGTCTCTGGACACAGTCGACGTTTGCTGAAGTGGCCTGAGAACGAGCATCCGAAATTGCTCATGGATGCCCTTAGATGTGATATTGTCGGTTTCGTTGATCGAGGCGATGATATGCGGCTGAAGATTTGTTCGTACCTTGGCCAATTGCACGGCTATGGTACTAAAGAATAGAGAAGCATCATTTCGACCACTCTCTCCTCTGCTGAAGAAGAAGCTAGCTCCCAAGATACCGCGAGCGTTGCATCTGCTTGCGATGGTACGGGATATTGTTGATTTCCCAGTGCCTGCCATGCCATTCAGCCAGTAAATGCGCTGGTCGTTCACTTTTCTAGCCCATTGCATAATGTCCTGGAGCAGGTCGACCCTGGTATTTTCGAGACACATCGGTTTGTGCCGATTCTCGACAGAATCATACATTGCACCATTAGAAGCCGCTAATCTTTTGATAGCATCGTAAGTAATGCTGTGGTCTACTCTTGAGACCTGTTCTGCAATCCGCCGCACTGTCCTCGTCAGCTCTAGCCACATCGAGGTCGTAACTGCCTACTTACGTTGATCTTCAACCACATCGACTAGTCTTCTCTCAAGCTCCACCTTCTGGGGGGGTACCTGGTTCAGCAAGGCCTTTGCATAAGCGGCTGCAGCCATAGCTGCGTAGCCTTGCCACCTGTTGTTCTTGTGCGAGTCAGAGTAATCACATATAAGTCAAAGCACCCACTTTCCGATCACCCCCACTTTGCGATCACGCATCTCCACCCCCAGCCACCTCCAACCTCCTCACATATAACTATCACCACTTCTGTAGTCTTTATTCAAATGACTTCATTTTTTCACTACCTATT